GCGCAGCGATTCGCAGAACAGGATTCGTGTATTTTTAGATGCGGGACGTGGGACCTCTGCCGCGGTACTCGATGGGGTGAATTTCGGCGGAAAAACAAACACGTTGATTACAGTGCTGGGCTGCTCGGCTGCAAGCAGACGCATCCGTCTCGAACGGCGCCAAAAACGCGCAAATAAATGACACGATTACATCAACATCTCCACGTGATGCGTACCACGTCGCTGAATCAACTAAAGCTCCGTTGGGGGCGTCTCGTTGTTTTGGCGTGCGTGCCTACTACCACTTCAGCGTGACTTGCCGCCCTGTCGTTCCCGTATATCAGTAACACCCATCGTTAACGAGGCCGCGTAAGCTCCTTATTGAGGGTTCTCGTGTATTATACGCAGCTGAGAGTATATGGAAGCGCTGCTTCGCTAGTGCCGTCTAATTCCTCAGTTCTCTCGTGGGAACAAGTACTCGTGAATACATTACCGAGTTTCGTTGGCAAGGCGCCCACGCTGACATAAGTTTTAACTGAAATATTCAAGAAAATGTACCGAGAACGCAGCCAGCTTTGAAGTTTTCATCCGCGCTTTTCTATAAACGTTGTGCAACCCTTCCCCCCCCTTCATTCCCCGCGTGTATAACATCGAGTAATGTATTTAGATACGCCGAGTAAAAAATCGTGAGTAAGAAGAAGAGGAAAAACTGCGCTACGATATTCTCGACTACCCCACGCAGCAAGATGGCCGCACGCCTCGCGACTAAAAAAAACGCTCTGCTCTGCTCTCGGCCTTTCCCGTGCGAAACGCGCGTCACGACGTGATAGTCGTCTGCTCTCGGCCTTTCCCGCGCGAAACGCGCGTCTCGTCTCGTCTCCCGCTAAGCAGCCGCTCCACTTCTCTCGTTACAGCGGGATCGTCTGGCATGATGTCGGCGTACGACCCGATGACGCACGGAACGCCGCTGAGCATGCTGCAGGTGCCGCCCACCGCGCTGCAGGAGATCGGGCGGCGGCTCGCCGAGGGCACGGCGACGGCGGCCCGCTTCAGCCAGGACTCGAAGACGCTCGCCGAGCTCGCCGGCGACCCGGCGGCGCGCGCCAACAACGTCGACGTCGGCTTCGTCTGCAAGAAGTGCCACCTCGTGTACCCGGCCGAGGCGCTGTGCCACGCGCACCAGCGCGCCGTCTGTTTCTCGGGCAAAGGGCGCGCCGACGCCGCCGCCGTACTCAAACTCGTGCAGGTGCAGTACCAGTGCAGGCTGTGCCGCGACGCCGAGGGTGAGGACGCGGCCAGCTACGCGACCCAGGAGGAGTACAAGTACCACTGCGCGCTCGACTCGCATGTGAAGAGGCTGAAAGAGGCGCAGGCCAGCACCGCCGCGACGAAGAGTAGAGCTGCTGCTGCCAGTGATGCCAACGCCAAGCGTGATAGTGATAATGCTTCTACCTCATCTCCGCTCAGCAACGTAGACAGCAAGGCAGGGGGCGCCACTAGCAGCACTAACGAAACCTCCGGGCGGGACACGATACCACCCCCAGAGGCTAAACAATAAGGAGTTTTAAAATAAAATTTAATAAAAAATTCATGCTGCATCATCTAGTTAGTGAGTTAAACATTTTATGTACCAGACATGCGGTAAAGAGCATGTAAAATGAAGATGTTGTTTAGTAGGTATTTGCGTCGATGTCCGTGCTGCATGTATGGGTGCTGTAAACAGTCTAGCCTCGCATTCATCGCCATTCTTCCACTCCGCAGGGAACTTTACACGCATTTACTCTGGGAAATTCAGGTGAAGTCAGGCTCAGGATTTCTTGTGCTGATACTTTTGTTAACACCGTACCGTCTGCCGGCGCGTGCCGGGCAGGGTGGGGCGCGCGCCACGTATGCCCCGGTTTGTTTCACTCGCGTGGGTCGCCCGCCCGCCCCGGCGTCGCGCGGCAGCCGACAGACTTTAACTTCATTCTTTATACTTTAACACTTCGTGTTTCATGTGCTTGCCACCGCTATTGCTAACCTTTAGTCGGGCCGGCGCTGGGAAGCAGGAAGCTCGTATACAACTCTCCCCAACTGTCGATATCTGCGCTGTGGTGACAGTGATATTGGTGCTTCTATGTTCACCTCGCTTCTCAGCCCCGTCTAGATAACTACTCATATTAGAAGTGTCTGGATGTTTACCTATACATTACCAAGTATTCATATGATTTGATAGGGTCCAACGTAAATCTTGTCCTGTATATGTAGTGTGTGTAGATTTTGTTTGATTGTAACCTGTATATTGCTATTGGTAGTGCATACTTGTGTCTGATACGCTTGCATAATGAAAACTGAATAATGGTCGTTCAGTATTAACCAACAAATGTAGTGTGACAACCAGATATCCAGTGTTGGAATTCAAGTAGAACACCAGTGGTGTGGTGAGAGAACTGTCGATTCGAATGTGTGTTGCATCAGGATTGTGTAATTACCTAATGTTTGCCTGATTCATGCACAACGCTTGATTACCTCATTAATTCGTTATGCTAATTATCGATTCTTGACAAGCGGCGTGCGCCCGCCTCCTTCGGGTCGGAGCGGGCACTTGGGAGCGATTGTTGGGACTGCCACTGGAGGGCGCTGTATATAACAAAACTCAGGGGATGAATAGAGCGTAGACGAGTCCCAGGAGACGGGTGCGCACCGCCTGAGTTGAGATGGCTACATCGTCAGATGTACACAACAGTTTTGGGTCTGCATGAGTACAACCAGAGGAACCTCAGAATAGTGGCCGGCGGCGGCGGGTGCCTCGTCACCAGCTTGCGCGGCCGCTATAGCCCAGTGCACGTCACCGGTCATCAACGCTGCGGCGCAAAGACTATTGTCACGCAACGGGTATTTTCACTGCTGAAATTCGCTAGGGGGTGCCGGTGGTCGGCTGACGGGTAGATGGCGCCACGCGTGGGTGGGGGAGGAGCTGTGGTAGTTGCTCATTCTTTTCACTCTCTTCGGGTTTCTCTTCAGTTGAACACGTTCAACGATTTCCGGGCGACGCGTCGAAAAAGCTTACCTCAAAAAAACTGTGCTACGAAAACGTAGCAATGGGTTTCAACGCAGGGTTTCTCCTCTTGGGAGACAACTCTGGGTGCCTTCTCCTGAGAGATGGGTGTAGCAGCCACAGCGTTGATGATCCGTGGGGTGACAGGGGGTGTTAAGATGAAGTTTGTATGCCCATTTTATTTTTTCATACCACAACCAAGATGTAATTAGCATATTTCTTGTGACATTTGTAGGAAATAATTTTGAGATTTGTTGAGTTGGAAATCATCAAAACTCAAAAGGAGTATAGGTATTGTATGTTGGATATGTCGTCAGAAAGGAACGAATTTTTATGCGATTTGATATTAAGTTGTTGCCAAATTGTGCGAGCGTGCTTAGAAATTAGAGCTCAATCATCGTTGCTATATTATAGTTTTTTATTGTGCATTTGTTTAAGCAAGACGTTTAGTATGTGTTTGCTTCTCGCATGCTTCCAGGGTGTTGTTGTTTCTTTTATAATTATGTCATTTCGTCAATAACCAATTTGCGTTTCGGCAGAACTAAGCTGTCTATATATTGAAATTCTTCAAATTAATCATTGTTATGATTATGCGTTTGTGTAGTATTCGCTTCTGTTGCTTGATTATTATATCTCGTTTTTGTATCAGTGACTCGCATGTTGTAAGCGCATAGACTATTCATTTGCAGTTCAGGATTGTAGCGATCAATGAGGAATGATAACGAGTGAGGAGCGTGCAGTGGTGAGCTCGCCCCATTGGCAGATTGATGTGTGTATTTTTGATGACTGGCCTGATTTGGAGGCATTTACATGCTTTGTGACGAGAACGTGTTGCATTTCTCCACATTTTATGTATATAGTGATACTTTAAACTACGTAATTACAATAAGGATTGATATTGATGACGACAAAAGATTACTTTTACTGGCCCGGTCAGGTGAACTCTGTGGAAATTGTTATAATTATATTGTGTAGACTTATACTGCTGTAAGCAAATAAACAACACAGGAGATATTATATGATATATATATATATATATATATATGTATATGTACATATATATGAGTAGGTATATGTATGCATATACATATATGTTTTGAAGAAGCCTGCTCTTAGCTCCACCTCATGGCAAATGCCGGAACCTCACAATTAAAGCAACCTCATGAGTTTCTTACGGCAGGGTGCATTTTGTAGACTTGAGCTGGGATTTTTCATGGCTCCCGTGCACTACTGTATGTTGTAAATTGTGCTTTGGAAGTAACAGTTCCCTGTTTCCTCTAGTGTTTAGAATTTACTCTCGGTTGCCTTCGTTCCAGCTAGAAGTTTACAGTGCGTGCCTATTTGACGGGTGGATTTCTCCTGTTACCTGAATCCATGCGAGATTCGGGAACTGTCTCTCGCGTCGCACCGTTCCTGCAACGCGTTATTCCCGTTTCATCGTCAGTAATTCGCTAATATTATTCTACACTGTAGTATGTTTATTCTCCTATATGATGACGATGTTGATGACTGTGTGATGGCTGTACAAGAACAGTCAAAATGATTACCTCAATGAGCGATCACTAACGGGATTGGGCGCCTTAATTGGCTGCAACCGTGGCTCTGTGAAACAGTGCCGAGCGCCCCCTATACCCCAGATGAAGATCCTCCTGTACCCATTGCCTCCTGTGTTGTTGTTCATGCACGAGATCAAGGCTTTTGCACGTCCCTGTAATGATCCTGCTTATTAGATCATGGTTGAAACCAATATTATAAATATGCTTCATTTTGTAATGTGCCGTTTTATTTTGGTATATGAATTATACCACGTTTTTAAGTCTCGATTTAGAATTTATTAAATTCAGAGAGCGCCATGTAAGCCCATGTAGTTTGCTTTGCGCTATACGACAATAAACTACTATATATGTATCTGATATCATGGCTTGCGTGATTGTTGTTGCTTTGTTTGTTGTTTGTATTTACTATAATATAATAATAGACATGATCAGTTAATTAAAAAGGTTTTACTTCACCCAATATCTTACCTTCCGAATAGTAACATATTTACACTCTTACTGATTCAAATGCTGCTAGCTACTATACAAATCACACTCATCATGTGAAACAATAATTACCGAAAGGGTCTGTCTACATGATGTGATAACACTGCAGTTATGCATAGACACCATTGCAATGTGGAAGTTGTCCACAAATATATAGTATCATAGTATTGTAGTAATTTAACAACATTTTACACTATTGCATCCATTAGATTTTTTCTCTATGAAACCATTTTTTCCATGTAATACGGCCTGGAAGGTAACAATGATCACGTAGACCCAATCAGGCTATACGTCATCAGTGGTCACCGATACTGTTGTGTGCAACAGCTTTTACTCTGAAAGAAATTACAAACACATATTAACACGAATACTAAATAGGAAATGGCTGCTTACATCTAGAATCAGTATATCGGGTGGGGGGGGGGTCAGTTATTACAGACAATACCTACTCCTAGGCAGTTTAAAAGCTATAACTTCAACTGTGTGATCACCCATTTACGACTGAACAGAATCATCTTTGTATAATGCATCAGGGTAAAAAATAGATGGGAGCGATGAGCGATTCGCTCTTCAAACTTCCGAAATCGCTCCCGTGAGGCTCAAAATAGCTCCCGTAAAAATTTACACGAGAGCTATTTTTTCCACAGACTTGAAAAAGAACTCCTGTGAAAAGTTTTTTTTTCCCTGATATGCATATATACTGTCTACAAGTTGAACTGTTACTACTCCACCTCTTTAACACATTCATCCAACATTTCATTTTACCCAAGATTGATAGATTTCATCCAACTTTTAATAGTACAGTTGTAGTGGTAGGGGTAGGGTAGCAGTAATGATAGTGGTAGCCGTAGTCATAGTGGTAAGGGTAGTAATAGGGGTAGTGGTAGAAGCGGATGTAGGGGTAGTGATTGTGGCAGTGCATGTTACAGTTCCCCTATACCAGAATGCCTCTAAATGTGAGAAAATATATTAGGTTTAAGTGATCAGCACCGTCGGAGAATCTCTTTATAAGGCACTGGTTCATCCTCCTGGTCACTGCTCTCATCCGCTTCACTGCCACTGCTCCCAGACGCATCTCTCTTAGATCCACGCTTACGCCGATGCTTCTTGCGCTTTTCACTGGTCGATTTCTGTGATGAAGACATGTTTACACAGTCAAGGGCTTGCATATTGAAGTGTAATACCGTTCTCTCATCATGTATATAGCTGATATTTTAGTACAGCTGCATGCTTCGCATCATTCTGGGTGGGTTAAAAATGAAAAGAATTCATGGTCTTGAAAATATTTGCATGCTATATATGCAATTAATTTTAATTGCCAATGACTCACATTTGTGCTCATTAAGTTAACTTAGTGGGTTATAAACTGATGTGATGCTGCTTATAAACATAAAGCTTTAGACATTAAAGTCTATCTTGCATTATACAATACAAGGCGTGATACAGAATTCACCCACATACACCGTGAAGCTATCAACCAGTGATAAAAAATTACAATTTCTCTATCTCTGCACTCTCTACCCTGCAGCACCAAGCTTGGAGATATAATATTACAAAACGAAAGTCGTAAATTCCCCTAGCTAAATGTGTGTATGGTTGGCTCGTTGCCTAGCAGACGATTTTCTAAATCCATCACTGTACGTTATGGAAAAAAAGTTATTGCCTTCTGCAAAGTGCAACTCCCAATCAAAACATGATACACGAACACAAGTGACAATACGTTTACAGGCTTAGGAAGGTTTTAGTTATCGTGTGCATATTACGTATAGTATTTCGCATCACAGTATTATGCATATTATCATAGTCATATATAAGTAGTTCACTATCATAACTACTGTGCTTCCTATTACAGCTAATGTGTTGCTGCTTATCACAGGATACATATACATTGCTTACAATCAGTAGCAACTACTTATAATATTAGTATAGCACAGTATTTCCTAATGTAGGCAGTACCCCCCACCAGGGGGGGGGGATTACCTGCTGGTAAGGGGCACTAAGAGGGGGGGCAGGTGTATATATGGTAAAGTAGGGGGCATTAGGGCCGAGTTCATGGGCCAAAGGTTTGAGAACCACTGGTATAACCCATTTATTAGTACAATATACACCATGTGATGAAGTGATACAAAAGACAATTTTATAAATTATTTGCCAATGAAAAATTTAAAGGACAGATGAGTTGGAGGATGAAGTTAAAGCTAATGAGCGTAAATGTTGGCCAATTATGCAGTCACCTTTTTCTTGTGCTTGCTTGAGTGCTTGTGTTTGTGTTTGTGATGAGACTTGCGTTCCTTAGACCGATGTTCCCGTCCTTTGGAGTTAGAGGAACCTATATGAACACAATCGATCATAACATCAAACAAACTCAAAACACACCAAAACTGACAACCAGCGCCAACACCAATGCCAATGCCAACACCAACGCCAACACTAACATGTATTAACAACTTCATCAACGTTAATAGCTGTAAAACAACAACGCTTCACAGTTTAGCACTACTTCGCGATCACTCATGCTAGACGATGGCGATACCTGGTGTACGAGGGGTCACAGGTGGTCGGTACTCAGGCAGTGGGGGCAGCACCGGTGTCTGCGGCATCGCACGATCCTGTGGTGGCGTGAATGTTGGCCTGCGACGGTCCGTGGGGGTAAAACCTGGTGGCAATGCAGGCCCATAGACATCAGTAGCCTCACTACTCTGGTTAGCAGCATCAGTTACCAGATGCGAGTGCGAGTCGACGGGGCTCTGGTTTTCCTCGCAGTTTCCGTTGCGACCCGATTCAGGCAGGCAACTAGCATCCTTCCCGAGAGTATTCAGTGCTGCATCTGTACTGGACACGTTCTCTGAGGGCTCCTCTTCTATTACGGCTGCAAGCAGTATAGAATTGGAGATATGTTTACACTGTGGCATCTGGTTGCAATAGGCAGATTAACTCTCATGGATCTAGTTCGTTTTTCCATTACCATTTTGAAATAAATCAATCTGTACAAACTATTATGCCATCATTTTCCGTGAAAGGCCAGGTTTTCCTCTTTTAGACATCACCCACCAACCTTGTACTGGCCAAGTCAATTTGTAGTTATGTATCAATTGTAATTTAGATTTGCTTATTTTTCGTATCCTTCTGTCATGCAGTGCTTTTTCAGGTATATGTCCATTTTTAGTTCTAGCTGTTTCCAGTAGCTGACCATACAGTCAAACCCGTGTTAGTTGGTGGTCACTTCTGTTAAATTTACACGTGTCGACACCTGACTATAAAAGCTGCGTTTGGCATTTCCCTTGAGTAGCAGTTATACAGCGAAACCACTTCTATAGAACGGATACCTGCCTATAACGTTCATTCTCGGCATCTTCCTCGAGTGGCCCTTAAATACAGGTTTGGCTGTATGCCGGAGACTAAGAATGCTGCTGAGCATGGTGTACTCTGGTATACAGACGGTTACTCGCTGGCTTGTCGAAACAGATGCACACTACATGCAAGAAGGTGGTAATGTAATATGGGATTCGGAAGAGTCACGCCTCCATTATGACACGGAGGGAGCTTTCTCGCATATGCCCGTTGTATTTTGCGTTATCCCAAGTAGCACAATAAATAGTGGTTATGCATATGCATAGGCAATAATCTCAGCAATACGTGGAATTAAGTGTAGAAGAGGCATGACAATCAACCCTGCAATACCATCAGAATACATAACAGTGCAATTAAATTTCAAAACCATTGCAGCGGCATGCTGTTGGATACCATAAGTACGTCATGTGGTTCAATTGCTAAGTATACCCCTCCCCTTTTCCTGAGCTCACTAAAGTACCCTTGGTAGCACACATGAACTGTCCTTATTCTGAATCTTCAGGATTTCCCCCTGACAAAATTCTAGGACTTATTCACATATTTTATAAGAGCATTACATATAGGTGCTTACCTACGACCACTGGTGAAGATATATTATCCTGTATTTTGACATTGTCCTGTATTTTGACCTCCTCCTGCACTTCCTCTTTCTCATCTTCAGAGCTGGAGCTCGACTCAGACTCGTCAAAGATAGCCTTGAAGAGGTCCATAGAAGGCTTCGAGTCTGCATTCGGGTCGTACTCCTACTCAACAAATACATTCACTCATACAAACCCCATGCCAAATTTACACATCATCATTGTTGATCCTGGAGTATTATACTAAAGGATGCATAAAGAAGCCAGCTACTTTACTTCCATCCTTGTTTACTGATATTTCATATCGTTTAGTAAAAGAACTGTAGCCACAGTAAGATCTTAAACATGCTATTGTATCTTTAGACAAGAGATACAAACCTTGTATTCAATGGGTTCATTGTCGGTGGCTTGGTCAGCGGGGGTGAGAGGAACATCCGCTACTGCGTCACCCTCATCTCCTGCGCCTACTATACATTAAAAACATCAAACATAAATAAATATAAAATGACTACTTCGCTGTTATGAAAGTGCAAGCGCATGTCAACTGCTCCAACTTACAATGAAAGTGTCAATGACACTGTATAGCTCACCTTGGGTGTGATAGAAGAGGGAGGGGGGATATATAAAGCAAGAGTATATATGGAAGAACTCCCATTATATAGCATATCTCCCATTATATACTCTTGATAATGATATATGCATCTATAGGAATCTAGTCTGAAATCTTGACGAGAGATGGCGCTATGCCTAAATGATCGCCATTTTGGTTTTCGAATATCGCGCAAATAAAAACAATAAAATATTCCAGTCAAATTACTGTAACGAAGAATCTAAAACACAATATTACACGTATATAGGTATGATTGTAGAGTTGTTAACCAGTTAGACGAAATAAATGTAATAGGACGTTGTCATCTCTCCCATAGGAGTAACAACTGTTTTGTGGCTAGCCTTACACATTCATATACCAAAATTTAACAAAATCGAATGAATCTAGAAGGCCATTTTCATTTTTGCCAAAAAGTGGGCGTGGCTCGAAAGTAGGTCGACTGGCGTGCTCCAAAATAGGATGTTCAAATCTCTCCCATAGGAGTAACAACTGCATGCAATTTGAAACATTTGGGTCAAATGGTTCTTCAGTTATCGTTGACCGTAAGCAGACACTGAAATGCATAGTGAAATTGCTAAAATCTACATAATTTGCATAATTAAAAAAAAAAAAATCAAAACCCATGTGATATATTTTGGGGCCAGTCCTTATTCATTCACATACCAGAAATGAGCAAAATCCGTTGAACCTGAACTGACTTATATCCATTTCCATTTTTGCCAAAAAGTGGACGTGGCTCGAAAGTAGGTCGACTGGCGTCCTCCAAAATAGGATGTTCAAACCTCTCCCATAGGAGTAACAACTGTATTCAATTTGAAACATGCGTTGAAACATGAAATTTGAGTCAAGCGGTTCTTGAGTTATCGTTGACCGTAGCCAAATGTTGACGGACAGACAACACCCCATGGCAATAGCTCATCTTGACGATGTCAAGGCAAGCTAAAAACGTTAAATGAAACTGATCAATACAATTCCCTAGAACTACTTCGATGGAACATACATAATGAGTCTCCACTATTTAATGATTATCACGACACTACCTACCATTATATTCCAAAGCTTTAACATGTGACACGTCTTCACCCGGCTCTGTTTCAGGTTCATTAGTCGACGGCACACCAAGGAAGTTGGAAAGTGTAAACTTCTCTCTCTTTTTTGACCGCAGTCCCACCATTTCTGACCTGAAAAAATGTGTATGACTACTGAAGGAAAATGATTTGCTTAAGTACACTTAGCTAATAACATAAATTAAGTCACACATAGGGAAATGTAAAATACAGTGATAATAACTAGAACCATTGTGAACAATTCAGAACCGCATAATCATTACACAACAAAACTGTCCAATGTATGTAAAACTAACACTATCCAAGTCTCTACCATTTCACAACTTCCTTCCTCAGAACATATTTATTGAATGTACATTAATAGCTGAAACTCATACCAGCATTCACTCTCTGTCTAATACCTATTATCTTTGAGGCAGGGATGGATAACTCTGATGTGACAGGCCTTTAAAAAATAATATTTTTATTTAAAATTTAAAATTAAATTATTTACGAATGTTTTTCATTTATGAAATTATTAATTAAACTATCTAATTATTTATTGAATGCACAACTTGCTCTGTGTGGAGCAGGCAGCAGCATACCCTGGGTAGGGGTTTGGTATATTGAAGCGTCTGCACAGCACGTGGTTTGGGTGCCACTCATGCATGGTCCGTGTAAGCTGACCAAACATCTTCATATTAGCCGCCGCCTTCTGGTCTGCCCTATTAGCCTGAAAGTTAGCAAGGTCAGGTATTCAGATCGAGCTAACAGGCTCTGGAAACGTACAGCATACGATGCCTAAATTGTTAGCGGTACATTTAAGTATGCTACGCCGTGCCATACGATGCTGCACATGTCACATAATATCAGGCATTGTCTTGCAGTGTTTAAACGATTTTTTAACTGGGTCACCTAGGTCATGTCAGCAGTTGTTCCCCAAAATTATTAAGGCGACCAGGAATGCAGCTCATTATGAAATACAAGTGGAGAGGTTAGAGTGACGACTACAACAACTCCTCCAGCAATAAACTATGGCTTAGATGTGTACGTATTGATACATAATACAAAATCACAAACATTCGGTTTGAAACATGAAAATTATTTTCACTGGGGCTTACCACGCAAGCAATGGCATCATCTGTAAGAATTGTACCAGAATTTTAAAACACTGTCTTTATTTATTTTTCTAGTTTTTATTCTTAATATTAAACTATAAACCTAGCTATATATTGTAAATAAAACCAAACTTAACTAAAAACAACACTAAAACCTCAAATAGTATTATACTGTAAACTCCAAAAATACTTGCATGTATACCACTGCAGTAGCCCTGCAACAATGTAATAATTTCAAATGCACAGACCATAAAGTGGCAATTTTTTAAACAATTTTGACCCAACAATTTGCATCTCTCGCTACCTCATCAGATAGGCTCACAGCCTCTTTCGGTGAATCATCGTCAAACTTTGCGCTCGTGAACCTGGATGCCATAACTCCAGAAAGTGGCCTGTACAGAGCAGCAGTGCGGTGAAATGCTTCACGTTCACTTGCAGCCTCCCACTCTGTCATTCCTTCACTTGGTAGACTCTTGTACGGATCTGCAAACGTCAATTATACATATGTATATTATATATATACATATTTATCATCATTAATTGAAATCCAGCATGTTCATGGACATATATCAAGATTATATATATATATAGATATATATATATATATAGATATATATATATATATAGATATATATATATATATAGATATATATATAATATTAATATATCATTTTGCTATGTCCATTAACATGCTGAATAACCGATTATAACTCTCACCTAAATCATAGCAAATTGTTTAAATAATGTTAGCTATTCTCATCAATGGTATTATTATAATGCTCACATACATACACAGCTAAAGATGTATTTTATATGCTATGAATGCTATCACACTATATGCACCCACAAATTACTGATCACAAATATCTCTTTTTTGTGTGAATAATGCACAACTTAAAACCAAAGTTGAACCTTGTACTCCCGACTTTTTCGCTTTCAGGTAAAGCTCATATCTCTTCTGTTTCTCTGGAAACTTGGCAAATGGCTGGAAACCAGTAGCAGGGCTCTGTGTTAGGGCCGCAGTAGTTTGCTTTTTTCCCACCACGATTGATGGAAGTGCCATTGCGCTACTTGACGCTGGCAACGTGGATGGTGCTTCAGTCAACTGTGAGAATGAGGATTTGAACTTGTTCGATCCTAGAAAGGAAGTTTTCGTTGAAATATAATTATTAAGACTAGGGTTAAAGTCAAGCCAATGCAAATCAATGCTAAAATAAAAACTTAATTATATATTGCAATAAGTGATATCGGAAAGTCCACCTGTGCTATTTAGTTCATAGAAAACGGGGGTATAAAATGGCCGAGGCACGCTTATGAAAGTATGATTAATGTAAACACGCATGCGTTTTTAGTTTTTGCATTAACACAAACATTGCAAAATATCCCAAATGACCACAATCATATCTGTAAATGTTTCTGTAAACAGAAACGCACCTGCATGTGAATTGAAGTACCATGTTAGTGAAGATAATCATAGATCAAAAACCTAGACTAGTCCTATCCTACCCATGTTATATATAGGCAACTTATACCCCCTCTTATCTGATCTCAATATGGCGGCTGGGACTTTCCGATATGGCTTATATACACGATGTATTATTCACATTCTGGTCTTATTGTACCGGTATTGAACTAGTATGAAAGTGTCAATGACACTATAGCTCACCACAAAAAAAGTACACAAATGAGCGAGTGCCAACAAGTCATTTTTAATTCAGCAACTATCCACCTACATTATATAAAACAAGAGTATATATGGGAGAACTCCCATTATATAGCATATCTTCCATTATATACTCTTGATAATTATATATGCGTAAATCGCAAACACCCCCCCAAAAAATGGCAGCAAACACGCAGTTTGGAATGACTCAAAAGTAGGTCGACTGGTGTGCTCCAAAATAGGACGCTGCCATCTCTTCCACAGGAGTAACAACTGTTTTGGGGTAGCCTTACACATTCACATACCAAAATTTAACAAAATTGAATGAATCTAGATGGCCATTTTCATTTTTGCCAAAAAGTGGGCGTGACTCGAAAGTAGGTCGACTGGCGTGCTCCAAAATAGGACGTTCAAATCTCTCCCATAAGAGTAACAACTGTATGCAATTTGAAACATGTGGGTCAAACGGTTCTCAAGTTATCGTTGACGGATGGACGGACGGACGGACGGACGGACGAACGAACGGAGGTACGACGGACGACGCCCCATGGCAATAGCTCATCTTGATGATGTCAAGGTGAGCTAAAAATAGATTTCAGGTTTTTCTACTTTTAAAATTATATATGAATAAAAACATACCACTGCTTCATGCAATTACAAATATATTCAGAGCCTGTATAATACCTGTTACGTCAGCTCTGTCACTTGCTCCAATTTTCGCTGTAGGCTTTGAAAGCAGTGCGAAAACTGAAGCAAAATAATAACAACTTTAGCAGGGTGCATTCATGACTAATAATATGTATCACACCACAATTACATCACAGGAGAGCACTAAACTAATGCAAAAAATTATACACATTTAAACTCGGCTATTACTGATGAATAAAGTCACTTAAAATAAAGTATCCAACATTGGGTTCTCTATTGGGTTTCTACATGCGTTCTCCCAGAGGTAAACATGAGACAACATTTATTTCACATACACCACTAAACAAGCAAGCAAACATGCAAGCCTAATTCCATACTAACAAGTGACCCTTAAATATGTCAAGCATGAATCATATACGTAACTGACACACTACTAAGTCATGCAACTCGCAATGATCACAACACGAAAATCTAATGTATTTAGGGGTCGTTCACAATTATCAACATTTTCACAAGCATACAAAGCGTACACTTTTTTGAGACCCCCCTTCCCCCCTAAAAGTGTACGAAGAAAAATGTAGATTTTTTTTCACACTATTCTACAAAGAGATACATTTATATGAATTACATGCAAAACCGCCATCGTGCCGGTTGTTTACACTGCACTCGGCTGCTAGCTAGCTAGCTCGGTTCGTTCGTTCAGCGGGCCCGTGCGGGGCGCGGGCCGGCCGGGGCTCGGCACGTCGCGGCGTGAGGATGCGCGCGATGCCGGCTGCGGGAAATGGATCGACATTTTTCGGAAATGCTGAAAGCATACGCCAAGCATTGACCCTCTCCCCCCCCCAGCGTACGGTTTGTACGCTTGTGAAAATGTTGATAATTGTGAACGACCCAACCCCTTAACCAAGGACACACATGTCATAATCAGTAGCAGCTCCTTATTACTAGGACATCAGCTCTGATCATAATCTGTGCAAAGCGCACACATCATCAATGCTCATGACAACTGAGCTCACCTGCTACAATCCTCTACTACAGACACGATTCTGCTGCCACTTACCGCTCCCAGCCTCCCCCAAGGCGGCACCTCTCTCTGCCGCGGACGTCGTTTTTCTCCTCCTGTCCGCCACGTCTTTCGACGCCTGCCTCTGACGTGAGGAGACGTGGAACGGTGTGTAGTCCCGAGGAAGTGCAGGAGGCGGAAACATCTTCTTCTCTCCGGATGACATTGCACACCTACTGAAGCCATCAATGAGCTTCTCTGCAGAAATCCCATCAGCAGGGGATTCTGAAAGTAATTGTCGTCCTGTTACGCGCCACCTACCTACTAGGCGCCATCAACGAGCAATGCTCTAACACATGACTAATCTCATCACAACACAAAATGTGACAATCTCAAACAAATCTCCCTTGAGATGTACCTACCAAATTCCATTTTTAATCCAAAACAACACACAAGCCTTACGCGAGCTTGTGTGGTTATTCAGTCACGTAGGTTCACATGTATGCACACACCACAATTTTATAAGGGGGAAGTTTTGAAAAGTATTTAACTTCGTTACACATTTTCTGGCCTATTCAGGGCATTTCATGATTAACTACTGAATCGACACTTATAGCGAGGGTGTGTAAATGAGGTTGTGATACTCAAATTAATGGGAATAATGCACAAACATGTCTAAGAGCAAACTAAACAGATTATTTCAAATATATACATAATAAGCGGAACAACTAACTTTGCCATCTGGATGCCCGTCTCCTATCTCTGCCTTGTGTTGTCTCACCACCAAGTACTTTGTCATAGTTTGCCATCGAATCTACAGAATAAATGTCTCCATCTTCCTCTTCCTCTTCCAAGATGCCAATACCAAATGCCTAAAAAACATATCATGTAAAGATAAATAACAAACACAGAACTAATTTTCGAACATTAAATAGTCTCACAGTTAATAATTTTAAGGCGTAGCTTTATTGCAGTTTAGCTACAGGTTAGCAGTTTAGGCACAGGAGCAGTAAGGTATACATAAGCGCAGATGTACTTCAATCAAATTAAAACTGAATTCTAACCATGTATGCTATATTGCACACAAACCCACCCTATTATTGGTTTGTTAATATAATATATGGTGTAAAAATTACGTGTATTTAGTATGTGCAAACACACAGACTATCACAAGACATGTGCACTTGCATGTAACACAGTTACAGTTATTGCCTGGCAGGTGTCAAGCATACCTGTCCTCGAATCGCCCGCTGACCCATCCCACCTATGTCTGGTGTTTCAAACAGATTGATATGACCAATTGCTGAAGCATCAAGTCCCCTGTAGGCCAAGCCATGTGTGTCGTCTTTGCCTGTAAAGATGAACATAGCCACATCTGCTGGAGCAAAGGTCCTATCTTCCGGATAGTCATCATCATCCTGAAAGAGCAATGTACACATGCATTAATCGATAGGCATTGGCAATCAAATGCAACTTTAACCATTTTAGTAAATGTTCTAGATTACACTACATCATATGCTTAACAAATGCTCAATTAAACATCACAGCGACTGTTGATGAGTCTATATCGATAAATATCTATAAAGGAAACTTGTAGGATATTACACCTGCTGTGCTCAATAACCATCATCAATCAGATGGCCGGTACTGCATGTCATCACATTCAAACACCCAATACCATACCACATCATCTGTAGGTGGTTTCTCACACCCATAAGCCTTTTTCTCATCCGGCTTTACTAGCTTTCCTCGGTAAACTCTTGGTCCAACACCCTGGCCAGGCCTCCATCCCATTGTCTGCAGGAGTCTCATTCCAACCGTCATCCTGCAGGTAACATCATGAAACATTTTGAAACATTACATTGGGAAATAAACTTCCATGCTCTCACACTAATCACGTCTCTCTAAGTCTGTGATTTTTAGAAAAATTGATGAAAAAATGTCAGCATTTTATGTAGCATTCTCTCTTGTGTGATAGTCTGTTAAGTGGTGACAGTCATTAGGTTTTTCATGAAAAAATACCACTTATTATTAAAAATAAACTAGTTTACAAACATCAGTCATACAACACTACAATATAAAATCATTACTTGTACAATTACATTTCTTGTGCATCTCTTAATACCATGGTAATATATTATTTAATGAGGCAGATTATCCTTTTCATATTATAACAAGATTTTGCATTGGATTTGTGATGAAAAAACACTTTAACAATTATTTATGGTCAGGGGAAAAGTCATGGTATGCATACAGGGGCGGCGCCAGGGTATTTTCTTACTGATCGCGCAGCTTAGCGGTACGCCCCACTGATGCACCAGCCAATAGCCGGCTGCGACTCCGCCGTTGAGTGGGACGGCCATGAGCGAGCATACATGTACGCTGCGATGTGGCGTATATCGTGGGTTATTCGTCGTGCTTCGTGAGGCGTATGGCGTATTCGCTTGGCGGCAGGTAATGGCTCTCTCCGCGAGTGCCGCTCTGTCTACTTTTAGTTAGTGTTTATGCTCACAGGCGCGCAGCGTTGTGTGTGTGTGCTGTGTGGTGGTGCGCCGTGTGCGTGGGCGTTCATCTTTCTACCAAGGTCAATGTTTTTCTCATCACGCTCTACATAGATACAACAATTATTGTTCAAGTGCTACAGCATAGATTTTAAAGCAAATCACTGTTCGCCACCCACAGTAGTCCATCCGGAGACCCCCGCTCTTATTATAACGTGTCCAGTTCATAGCATTGAATTTTAAATCGAACATCTGAGCTAGTTCCGGAGACCCCTCGATTTTCGTGAAACATAGCCTGGTCCAGAGGCATTTCAAGCAGAACATTAGTCTCCACGAGACGACAACTCAGGTATTCGATGGTATGAGTTAGGTGTGCCGAGAGCCCCTGATCCTACCCCGGCGGGCCCGACCTGCCGGCCCGCTGCGCGTCTGCTCGCCCGGCGGTTGACCCGCCTTGCCTCCGCCGTTCCACGGGGGCGCGCCCATTTTAAACTTCGCAGGGCAACATACCGAGAGTACGTTACCGGACGAAGTTGGTGAGTTCCGGGCCCCCGCGCTCCCCGTGTGTTTCATCTCCTGGATACTGTTGCTCCTTGGTCCCTGTCACAATTTTTTTTGTCAAAATTTGAGGGCCTTTGATTAGCTAAAGCTGCTGAGAGCTTCCCCGGACACCACGCGCTAGCCATGTGGGGCAGTAAAGACGGGCCCCTGGGCCGGATTCCATCGCACGTCGCGCCGAGAAGTGTATTGCGTAGGCACATGAGCTTTCTTACGAAGCTACGTACGCAAAGCGTAGGTCAATTCATCACAGCAGCGTAGCACCTGCCGTACGCCCAACATAGTTGATGATCCCTGGTAGTAAATCCACTGCGCGCACGTAGCTGCCCCGGCTGTTGAGCGGCGTGCCTAGCTATAAACCAATGGCACAATTTGCTGCGCGACCCATAGCCATACAGGAAAAACCGAAAAACCTGAAAAAAAAACCCCCCCGTCTCTTTCTTGTACTGTAACACCGAGTATTGCTCTAGTCTGTCCTTACAGGTAGTGCTGGGGATTTGAGAGGTTGTCTCTTTTTCGTTTGTATGATCTGTGTTCAATCATCTCGATGAAACAGCGACCAGCGTACGCTAGTGCGTAGTCGTGACGTGTGGACTACAACGTGCTGTGCGGGCGTGGCGTGGGTGTGCACGTACTACGTGCGCGTGCGTGTGTCTGCCAGTATGCACGTCGTGCGTGAATGTGCACTCACACGTGCTACATTGCGTAGCAGTACACGGGCACGTTGCGGGTGCGTATGTACAGTGTCGTGCTTGTGTGCACTGTCACGTACAACGTGCGCGACGGGCAATGTGCACGACAGGCGTCAACTAGAACGTCGCTTATAACGAAAAACGAATTGCCAAGCTATGACAAAAAAAGCGTACAAAGGCGCCGCCTGTCTGTTGTAGTATGTAATTATTTATTATTTTAGTTGAGTAGTAATTTTTATAAGTTTTCATCAATAAATAATGCATGCTTCGAATGCTGAAACACCTGCGAAAATTTCGAGTGGTTTATCGGCACCCGTCAGCTCGTGTAAAGTTGTACGCAAAGGTTTACGTAAATTTTAGCTTGATAAATCGCACCTAAAACAGCCCATCGTTTGCGTACGCGAAGATCGTACGAAAATTTAACTAACATAGCGTGTGATTGATGAATCGCGAACTAAGCAACCAGATTGCGTACACAAGATTTACGCAAAATATTTTGCCGTACGCACTTGATGAATCACATGAATCTACCCCACCTGAATCCCCCCTGGACCGCCAACCGCGTCAGGCAATTATCGCGCACACGGTACAGAGTCTACATAGTTCCAGGGGCGTGTACAGGGGGGTCCAGGGGCCGACCCCCCATGCTCGCTGCAGAAACGCCATCTGAGCGGCTAACTTCAAAAAATTTCGCTGGGAGAGCCCCACCAGACCCCTCTTCGCGTGTCCCTGTAACACGCCCGCTGGTTCGGCCCGCCCCCCGAAGAC